TGATAACAGTTATGATGACAATTATCATTATCATCATTTTTATCATTATTGTTATCACTGCTATTGTTTTTTGTAATTATCATTATTATTATTTTGTTATTATTATATTATATTATCATTATTATTATTATTATTATTATTATTATTATTATTATTATTATTAATATTATAATTATATTCTTATTATCATTGCTATTATCATTATTATTTTCATCATTATTATCATCATCACCACCATCATTCATCATCATCATCATCATCATATCATCATTCATCATCTCATCATCATCATCATCATCATCATCATCATCATCATCATCATCATCATCATATCATTCGTCATCATCATCATCATAATATTATAACTAGTAGTAGTAAAAATGAAATAACAATATTGATAATATTGTTATTATCATTTTATTCTACTACTACTTCTGCTACTACTATTACTGTTATTAATACTATTGATATCATTATTATTATTATTATCATTATTATTTTTATTCATCATGTTTATTGTTACCGATATTGTTATTATTACCATCATTGTCAGTATTATCATCATCATTACAATTATTACTAGTACTATTTCATTTGTTCTTTTTTCACAGTAATATGTTCTCGTGAACAGGACAGTCGGCTATCTAATGAAAAGGAACAGCCTGCTAATCGCTCAGAAAATAAATCAGAAAAATTGTGTTGATGCTAATGAAGACGGACGGCGTTTAAAACATTTTTTCCCGCCCTTATTTGATTCCTAGTATAATTGCCTAATCATCATGGTAATTGGACATATTTTTTGGCGGGACGTGTTTGAAAAGACATTTTTTTCGTTTATGAAATGAGTAGTAGATTCGGTGTTTGAAATGAGTAGACGATTTTTTATTTTTATTTTATGTTTTTCTCTCATAGAGTCGTTAATGGGAAAACATAAAAAACAAAAAAATACATATAGTCATGTAGCCCTCGTTCAGCGCGCGCGAGATGAGCAAAACTCACTCTTTCAATCAATTTACGCGTTTTGCTCTTTGTCTTTTTTTCCTAGAGGCATTGATGGAAAAAATAAAAAAATCCATGTAGTCCCGTAGCCCTCGTCCAGCGCGCGCGAAATGAGCAAAACTCTTTCAATCAATTCACGCGTTTTTCTCATTTTCCTCCCGCAGGTTGCCGCTGATCCTTGGCGTGGTGTTCGGGGTGGCGGTCGCAGTGATCGTCATCGTGGTCGTGTCCTGCTTTCACTGCTCCTGCTGCCTGCTCTACAAGAAGCGACAGCCCACTAATGGAGGTGAGAAGTTTATTTTCTTATCGGTTAAACTTAATGAGTTTTATAGCCATAATTACCGGTGTATAATGATGATTAACTTTCCCAAACTTTGATTTAAGGTATAAGGTCAAACTTTTGTTTCAAAATGAAATTCGGTATCATTTGCGAATTGCAATAATTAAAATGTTTATTCAGACTCCATGCATGATGTGAAATTGCTAGTTCTACCATTAAGGTTATTGCACTTTTTGATCACCCATTTTTTTATAATTATTATTTTCACGTTTCTTAACCATCACAAGCATTATTGTTGTTACCCTTTAGCATGCGGAGTGTCGATGTTGCTTGTCTTCTCTCTCTTTTTTCTTCTTCTATTGCTTATTCCTTGTTTGTAGTTGAAATCAGCATGTTTTTTTTTTTTTTTTTTTGTACTTCATGATCTTTCTCACTATCTACATTATCCTTTGTTTCTTCATCCTCCTCTCTTTCTTCTTTATTTCTTTTCCTCTTTTTTTTCTTCCCATCTTTTCATTTTTTTTTTGTCCCTTAACTTTTTCTTTGTTTTTGTCTTCCACGACATTTCCCTTTCTTCGTCTGCGTCTTTCTTCTCCTTCCATCTATTTCTTTTTCCTTTCTTTCTCTTTCGCCTTTCAGCTCCTATACGTCTTTGTCCTCCTTCTCCCCTCGCTTTCTCATCCTTGTCTTTTTGCTTTGCCTCTTTTTTCTTTCTCCTTTTCCTTGTCTTTCCTCTTCTCCGTCTCTTCTAGTCTCTTACTTTTTTTTCTCTATTTTATTCTCTTTTTCTTTTTTTCTTCTGGTCTTTTCCCTCTTCCTCCCTCTCTCATACTCTCTCACTTCCCTTTTGTCCTCCCTTCTCCCTCATTTTTTCATCCTCCTATTTTTGCTTCTGTTTCTTTCTCCTTCTCCTCGTCTTTTCCCTCTTTCTCTCTCCTACTCTCTCCTCTCTCCCTACTCTGTCCCTTCCCTCCCTCTATCTCCTACTCTTTCCTTCCCTCTCTCCCTCTCTCCCCTACTCTTTCTTCCTCTGTCCTCTCTCTCCTATCTTCCCTTCCCTCGTCCTCTCTGTCCCCTTAAATCTCCGTGTCCGTCTTTCCCCTTCCTACCCTACTCCTCCCTTCTCTCCTTCACCGTCATGTTCTTATCCTCTCATCCACCTGTCCATCACCCGCTCAACGTGGAAGTATTGTTCGCGTGTTGTCTCTCTGCCTCTTGGATTGAAGGCGCCTTTGCTGGAGGGTTTGCAGCACAGATCGCGGTGAAGCTGTTTTCTGTCTGTCTCTTGTGTTGTTGCTTTTTTTTTTTTTTTTTTTTTTTTTTTTTTTTTTTATTTGTTCTGATTGCTTGACGTTCTGGTTGAGATTTTCTGTTGTGGTATTTTTTTTTTTCTTTTTTTTTTTTTTTTTTTTTTTTTTTTTTTTTTGTCTTTCTATTTCGTTACTTTCTCTCTATCTTTCTTTGTCTGGGTGTCGATGTAGCTGTCGCTGTTCCTGTCTTTTTCTTTGTTTTTGTGTTTGTCTTTGTCTCTGTCTATCTGTCTGTCTCCGCTTCTCTCTCTCTCTCTCTCTCTCTCTCTCTCTCTCTCTCTCTCTCTCTCTCTCTCTCTCTCCCTCTCTCCCTCTCTCTCCCTCCCTCCTCCCTCCCCTCCTCCCTCCCTCTCCCTCCTCCCTCCTCTCCGTCACTCCGTCACTCCGTCACCCTCCTCCCTCCTCCTCCCTCTCCTCCCCTCCCTCCTTCTCTCACTCTTTCCCACTTGTTTTATCAACACTTCCCAACAATTTCCCTGCAAATAGAAGAAAAACAGAAAAAAAACTTTCATACCATCGACAAAGAACTAGGTAATTGTTCACCGTAAAACTGTTCTTTGTGTAAGAACGCGAGAACTTTTGCTCGCGTCGCCACCTCTTCCCGTTTATTCCTTTCCTCTGTTCCCCTTTTCTACTTACTATCTCATCATAACCCGTTGGTGTGATTATAAGAACGTCATGCTTATTTTTTCTGCTGCTGTAACATTGTTATTGTTATTATTATTATTATTGTTATTATTATTGTTATTGCTGTTATTATTATTATTATTATTATTATTATTATTATTATTATTATTATTATTATTATTATTATTATTATGATTATGATTATGATTATCATTATCGTTATTTTTATCATTATTTTATCATTATTATGATTATCATTATAATAATAATATTATTATTATTATATATTATTATTATTATTATTATTATTATTATTATTATTATCATCATTATTATTATGAGTATTATTATCATTATTATAATTATTATCATCATTATCACTATCATCATCGTTATCGGTATCATTATTATTTTAGTATTGTTATTGTTTTATTATTATTATTATTATTATTATTATAACTATCATCAGTATCATTGTTATTACTGTTATTTTTATTATTACTATTATCATTATCATTATTGTAATTATAATAATGACAATGATAACAACAATTGTCATATAATCTTACTATCAGATCATTTCTATTTTTTATTTGTTATCATTTCCTTTACCAACACCATCATTATTCCTATTCCCATGCATACTATGATATTACCATTATCACCATTACCGTTATTATGGCCGTTTTATTACCGCGATTGCTTGCGCCGGCCGCCAGTGCGCATCTCGACTCGCTCTTGTCTGGACGCGTCCTCTCGCTCCCGGCTGACGATGGGTTGCCATTAGCGTATTTATGGCATCGTAACGAGCGGTAATAATGTTGATTTAGCCATTTAGAGTATGACTGTTTAAGATCGTTATGACTAATTTAGTGAATTTATAGCCTCATTATCTCATTATTGTCGAGATAATCGTTATATATTTTTTTTTTGGTAAGCGCGGAGGCTTTAATGATAGATTTGATAGCGACATCGTGTGTGGTGTTCGCCGTAAAAAAGGCGGACCTTGTCATAAATTGCACGCTTTCGGAGACGCTTTCGCTCGCTATCGGGGCTGTTAACAAGGGCCGGATGACGAATAGGCGCGAATGGGAACCCCTGAGGGAGATTCGCTACTGTAAATACAGACATTATCGCGCCTGCACACACGCACACTCATACGCACACACTCACGCTCACTAACACTCTCACTCTCGCTCTACCTCATCACCCTCACTCTCACTCTCACTCTCACTCTCATTCTCATTCTCACACTCACAATCATACTCATACTCATACTCATACTCACACTCACTCTCACTCTCACTCTCACTCTCACACTCACACACACACACACACACACACACACACACACACACACACACACACACACACACACACACACACACACACACACACACACACACACACACACACACACACACCAACGCAGATCCATGCAAACGCACATGAACACACGCACGAACTCGCACAAACCCTCGAAAACCGAGATCAGAACCTCAAGAAAAGAAAAAGAAGAAGAGAGAAGAGAGAAGAGAGAGAGAGAGAGAGAGAGAGAGAGAGAGAGAGAGAGAGAGAGAGAGAGAGAGAGAGAGAGAGAGAGAGAGAGAGAGAGAGAGAGAGAGAGAGAGAGAGAGAGAGAGAGAGAGAGAGAGAGAGAGAGCCTTTCTAAACCACTTAAAATACTATTCGCAATCCTCTTCAATTCATATCCCGAAAAGCTTCTCAAAAATGCTATTCCGAAAGTTTTCCAAACCCTATCCGGCACTGAACCCCTCCTCCCTCCCTCCCTCCCTCCCCCTCCCTCCCTCCTTCCCTCCCTCCCCCTCCCTCTCTCCCTCTTCCCTCCTTCCCTCCCTCCCTCCTCCCTCCCCCTTTTCTCCTTTTCCGTGCCCCCCCCCCCCCCAACGCCCACACCATTTGACAAAAAGAGAAAAGGAACAACTTTTCTGCACGGGCTTTTCGGCGTGACTCTCCTCCTTCCTCCTCCTCTTCCTTTTCCTTCTCGTCCTCCTTCTCCTCTTCCTTTTCCTCCTCCTCGTCTTTTTCCTTCTCATCCTTCTCTTCTTCTTCCTCCTTCTCCTCCTCTTCCTCTTTCTCTTCCTCCACTTCGTCCTCTACCTTCTCCTCCTCCTCGTCCTCTTCCTCCTTCTCGTCCTAGCCCTCTTCCTTCTCCTCCTCCTCTTTCTCCGCTTATCTCCTCATCTTTTCTTTGCTTTTATTCTCTCCCTCTTCTTGTATCTCCCTCCATCAGGTCCTCCAGCTTCTTTTTCTTTTCTCCTCTTCCTTCTCCTTACCCCGCCCCTCTCTCATCCTCCTCTTCCCCTTCTCCTAATCCTACTCTACTTCTCCTCCCTCCTCCTCCTTATCATATTTTTCTCCTTCCCCTTCTTCTTCTTCTTCTTCTTTCTTCTTCTTCTTCTTTTTCTTCCTCTCTCCTCCCCATTTCCTCCTGCTTTCAGCCTCACCCTCACCCTCCTCCCTTCCCCAAAACTCATCTTCCTCTTCTCATTCTTCTCCTCACGGTTCCCTCCTGATTTATATTCCCTATTAAGGATGTCTCTTGCAAACTCTCTCTCTTTCTCTCCTTCTCTCTTTGATGTTTGCTTTATAATGTTCCTCCCTTCTTAAAGATCTTATCCCTTCTTCTTTTTCCTTTTCCTTCTGCTTTTTATTTATCCTCCTCTTCTCTTTTTCTTTCCCTGTCTCGTTCTACTTGTTCATCTCTTTCTCATTCTCTTCTTTTTATTTCTCCTTTTCCATCTTTCTCCTTCTCCTTTTCCTTCTCTTCCTCTTCTCTTCTTCTTCTTTCTTCTTCTTCTTCTTCTTCTTCTTCTTCTTCTTCTTCCTCCTCCTCCTCCCTCCTCCTCCTCCTCCTACTCCTCCACCTCCTCCTTTTTTTCTCCTCCTCCTCCTCCTCATCTCACTCACACCTCTTCTCATTTTACTCCCACAAAATTCCTTACCTCATCCCCCCTCCTTTCCACTCATATTCCCACCATTCTTCCCTGCTTTCTGTATTCCTCTTAAAAGAACTACCCCCCCCCCACGTTGTCCCTCCCTCTCCCC